AGTCTTAGGCTTAAATAAAACAAGGGATTAGAAATAGCCCCCTGTTTAAGCGTGTATTTATAAAGTATAAATAAAAAGAGAGAGTGAGAGAGAGAGAGAGAGAGAGAGAGAAAGAGAGAGAGAGAGAGAGAGAAAGCGAGAGAGAGAGAGAGAGAGAGAGAGAGAGAGAGAGAGAGAGAGAGAACAGAGAGAGAGAGAGAGAGAGAGAGAGAGAGAGAGAGAGAGAGAGAGAGACAGAGAGAGAGAGAGAGAGAGAGAGAGAGAGAGAGAGAGAGAGAGAAGGACACAGAAAATAACTTACCATGGAAAGAAATAGACCGTGAGTACATGGAAATACCATCAGGTAGCAATAATCTCATAAAAGGTTGATAACCACTGAGATAAAACATCAATTGCGATATGCAATCTGTGCAAGATGTGATAGTCGAGCAACACGAAGGGAAGATCTTGATAAAGATGACCAAGATGAATGGATAATTAGTACGGCCTTGACAAAATATTGACATGAACAGAATTACAAATTAACGAAGCAGATATTAATTACAAATACAACAGATGCAACTTCCTTAACAAATTCGTATGCCCCCTATAAAATTTCCTGTCACTTTATTGAGCTGTTGCCATAGTAGGATTAGTATGTATATATATCCTCCAGTATGTATAGTTTTCTTTCTCGACACGTAAAAAAAATGTATCGATCATTGCAAAGACACTGAAATAATAAAAAAGAAATATGAATTTATTTTATAAATAGGATATTTGATTAAAAATAGGACATCTCTGTATTAATTTGTCGCTGTCTGAAGCCTAGGAATTGATGTTATAGCAAACATCAAAGAATAAGATTTATTGCATATATGATAAATGAATAAATATCCAAAGAATAAGAAATAAAAAAAAAAACTCAAAGAATTAGAATAGTGGAATGTATGAACCTTATGACATACAGCTGCTGGGTTCGTTGACCTAAAAGGCTATCGAATGCTTTAAGTGAAAGTGTTCATAACATTTATGATTGTGTTCGAGTGAATGGCATGCTATAAACGGTAGAAACGGCGTGGATCAGATAATTTAATACCTTGAAAATATGAGTAACTGTTAAATGCGGGTTCTGTAGCAATTGGATGCATTATTATAATCCACATACATACACACACAAAGATATATCTACAAATGTGCAGTATACATATACATATACATACACATAGATTGGTAGACAGATTGTTAAGTAGATAGATAGACAGACAGACAGATACACATATAGACTGATAGACAGACAAGTAGATAGACTCACGACATATTAAACTCACAAGCGGTATCACTTTCCCTCTGTTTGTCTTTCGCCTCAACACAACTAATCATTGTGGTCCAGTACCCATGGTGTCCTTTGTTTATATATATTGTTAAGGGTGTACTCTTAAATATATTAGTCACCTAAGCAGCCACGTGAACTTCGCTTTTCGTGTTCTAGTTGCCAGGGGTTTACAAGAGCTCAGTGATAGATAGGCATCCATTATTACACATTATAGTTGATAGCATTTAACTATGAACTCCTTATATCAAGTGATTAGTTATAGTAAGTAAATGTGAATAGTAAATAGTTATATTCATGTAAACAATAAAGAGTAATAACTTCAATAAGTAACAACTATTACAGTTATTTATTGACTTCTTTCTCTCTCCATAAATAGTTTAGCTCATCCGCTCCAAAGCCCTGTAAATAATAACGATAAATAACAAATATCTGTTTCATAGGTGCAGTCATACAAGAACGAGTGCCCATAGAACACTACAACTAACAACCTTTAATTAATGAACATTAGAATGAAAAAGGAACAATGGAACAGTCCATTGTGGCGTCACGACCACAATCAGAGAAACGCCCCACTGAGATAAACAAAACGGTATGAGCAGACGCAGACACATGTTTTTCCGGGAGCAGTGCCTCTAAGTATCAGTAAACAGTGTTAGTCGAGTGAAACAATCGTATGACTCATTGGCGGTGACAGAATGATTCCAACACATTAGCGGGATTGACAGTCTGGCGTCCGAGTTGGTGTGACAAATATATCTATTTATTGTGGGTTCGAGATTCTTTTTCTTTTTTCCTCCGAAAGTGAGATTTGAAAAGATTAGGAAGAAAATGAATCTTATTGCAAGGTATAGTTCTTGTATCTTATTGTACTGAATGTTGTCATTAACGTTTGTTGTGTTGGCTATATGTTTGTTTAAAAGTATTAAGTGAAGATTAAAGGCTTTCTTATTCATTGATATAGCAGGTTTAATTCACGAATCATGAAATGAGTTATATGAACACGTTGGCTCTTAAAAAAAGCTAGAAAAGAAGCGTTTCAGTTTGTCATAGTAACCACCAAATCCAAATGTGCAGCCTGTTGATGTTGCTGACGCTGACGGCGACTCAAGCGACAACCGGGCAGCGTCGGCAGGAAACCTCGTCCTTCGTCAGGGAGGTTTTCCCCAAGTGCGCCAACATCACCGACGCCGAGAACATGGACCATCCCGCGCCCGACTTCGTCCAGACTCTGCAAGGCACTTTCACTCTCACCCTCGAAATGACCATGATGAAGAAGGTAAGTGGGCGCTATGGGTATTCTTCAGCGATAGTCATGCACATTGTTCCGACCCCCTTCCCGTTTGAGAAATCTTCCTCCATGGGGCAGACACAAGTGCAAATTCGCTTTCTCTAAATACCCTTCCAGATAAGGGTTCCAGGTCACTCTGTTGTAATACGTTATTGCACCCTGCACATGTTAACGCATATATTTGTTGTGTTATGATTTTTCTCCCATTTTCCCAAGACCGTATATTGTCTTTTGCCAGTCACATTCCGTTATATATTTAATTGTAAAACTAACCAGATAAAGCGGAACTGGAATTTCTATTTAAAATACTTGGTTGCATTCTTCCATCTTACACATACATATATTTATCAAATGCATATATTTCTTCTATGTGTAGGGTCCCCACCTCTCAATTTTCACGCCACAGTAGTGTGTATTGATATTAACATTCTGCTTATATTTACAATAGCAAAGGGTACCAGAAAGAGCATACACTCTCAATCAATTGTTTCTAAACCCGGACTATTTTGTCCTTCATAGTCTGTGTCATATATACATAGCATCACGTCCCAGAAAGGGCGGAATCCTTTATATAAAACAAGTTCCTGCAATACACATAAATACCCATGCCTAATGCATAAATCTATCTTTTGTGTGTAGTGATGATTTTTTTTACTCCCTTTTTCCCTAAATTTTGCCATTCGTATCCTGTCCCATCTACACCCTCGTATTTACACCCCGATCGACACTCCATACAGAAAATGACTTATTACGTGGAAGAGGTTAGGGAGCGATTTGAGTTCGGTGGGGAAGTTACGGACAGCGGAGCGGTGTACCTGCGGCGAAACGGTACCGAGACCACGTACCACTACTATCCTACATCTGGCATGATGGTGGAAGAACAAGACGGCCAGTGCAGACAGACAGGGTATCGTGTCCTGTGTTATTATTATTATTATTATTTTATGGTTAGTCCAAAATACTGTCTAGTGATGATTATGGTGGTTATTAATCCACAACATTGTCTGGTGGTGTTTACGAAGGTCATTAGTCCACAGGTGTCTGATAATGATTATGATACTGTAATAGCCACATTACTTGGTGGTTCTTAAAGCAATTAGTCTACCTTATCTAATGACGATTAGTTCAAAACAGTGTCATATTATTTTGAGTAGGATTATAATTCTGAAAAGTATCTGATAGTTATGGTAATTAGGTCACAGCACTGATGGTTATGGAGAGGATTAGGCCATAGCAATATCCTGATGATTATGCTTATCTGTTAATTCGTTCACTACGTTGATGGCTATGAATATTAGTTCATAGTTTTAAAATTAGGACCCGTTTACCATCTGCTGAAAAGCGACACCTAAACACATTCAGAATTTTGATTAACGTTTATTCATTTCCTAATATACATACTGACCCACTTATTTACGTATTTGTTTATTCATCTACATTGCATTGGCTTGTTTCTTCCCCCCATTCATTCATTTCCTCATCGCTGACGTTTGAATAAAGCGATTTGTTTTTCTGCCCAATCATTGCAGGACAGACGTTCCGCCATTCAACCCCTGGGGCTGGTGGGATCCAGACCCGACCCACGGCGCTATGCTCTACGGGCCGTCCGCACTCATCCGTAGGGCCTCCTTCATCAACAAGGTGCTCTGTGTGTGTGTGTGTGTGTGTGTGTGTGTGTGTGTGTGTGTGTGTGTGTGTGTGTGTGTGTGTGTGTGTGTGTGTGTGTGCACGTTTTTTTTTTGTAGTGATATTTTGTGTGCGCGCGTGTGTGTGTGTGTGTGTGTGTGTGAGTGTAGTGATATTTTGTGTGTGCGTGTGTGTTTGTAATTTTTTTTGTGTGTGTATGTGTCTGTCTCTGTCTTTCTCATTATTTCTCTCTTATATATAACACTAATATTTTTTTGTACATATGTATATATCAGTATTACATATTCCTCAAATTTATTCAATCATTCACTATCATTCACACCCAGATATTAAAGTTACAACCCAAGGTACAGTAGTTACAACCCAATGAATAAAACTAACAATTCGGAATTAAAGTTACAACTTAAGTTATTAGAGTTACAACCCATGGTACCATTGCTACAACCCAAAATAGCAAATAACAACAAAATAACAAATTTACAACCCAATGAATTACAGTTAAGATCAGCGGGTTACAACCCAAGTTATTAAAGTTACATTCCAAGATATTAAAGTTACAACCCAAGGCACTAGAGTTATAACCCAATATAACCCACTACAACCCACGACAACACAACTACAAACTAAGATCCTAAAATTGCAATCTAATAAACTACACTCAAAACAAGATACTAAAACTACAAACCAGGAAATGAAAACCACAACCCGAGATACAACAGTCACAACCCGAAAGATAATTCAAAATCAAAACACCAGAACACCAGAACATCTCCAGGAGCATTTAGAGTTCAAATTACAACCCAATATCCCTATTTTATTTTTATCTTTTTAACCCTCCCTTTTACAGAGATACCTCCCCTATTTTATATATATTTTTTACTTTCCCTTTAACAGAGATACCTCCCCTATTTTATATATATTTTTAACCCTTCCTTTTACAGAGATACCTCCTCTAGTTTATATATATTTTTTAACACTCCCTTTTTTACAGGGATACCTCCCCTATTTATATATATTTTTTAACCCTCCCTTTTACAGAGATACCTCCCCTAGTTTATATATATATTTTTAACCCTCCCTTTTACAGAGATACCTCCCCTATTTTATAAATATATTTTTTAACTCTCCCTTTACAGAGATACCTCCCCTAGTTTATATATATTTTTAACCCTCCCTTTTACAGAGATACCTCCCCTATTTTATAAATATATTTTTTAACTCTCCCTTTACAGAGATACCTCCCCTAGTTTATATATATTTTTAACCCTCCCTTTTACAGAGATACCTCCCCTATTTTATAAATATATTTTTTAACTCTCCCTTTACAGAGATACCTCCCCTAGTTTATATATATTTTTTAACTCTCCCTTTAACAGAGGTACCTCGGAGGCCACAGAGAGATCAACGGTGTAATGTGTGAACGGTGGCTGGCTTGTGAAGCTCAGCAGTCTGTTATGGTTTATTATTATTTTTCAGGTGAGTTTTGTGTTGAAGACGAGATTTTTTTTTTTTTAAGATTTACTGGAAGGTGAAGCGAGAGAGAGGAGGAAGGAGGATTTGAGAGTTAAAGGGAGGGAAGGGATAACATTGTTCTTAATGTTAATGATATTATTTATTATCATCATTATCATTAATATCATCTTCACCATCATCGTATCATTATTATTGTTATTATTACTATTGCTATTTTTATTATCATTATTATTGTTGTTATCGCTGTTGTTATTATTTATCATCATTATTGTTATATATATTGCTATTACTACTATCATTCTTATTCTTCTTATTCTTATTATTGTTATTATTATCATCATCATAATCCTCATCATCATTATCATCATCACCATCATCAATCATCACTATCATCAATCATCTTCATCAATCATCTTCATCATCATCATCATCAATCACCATCACTTCATTGATTACCCCCTCTCTTATTCTCTTTACCATCACCATCATCACCCATTCCAGTCCCCATCATCCATCGTCATTTACTCACCACCACCACCATCATCACCATCACCATTTCCCGACCACCGCAGAGAGGCCGTGGCAGATGCCCGAAGCCCCTTTCTTCAACGAGGGCAACGGCAGACTCCCCGTGCAGGTCGAGGTGGAGTTCATGGACGGATCAGAGAGGATCCAGTACAACGTCTTGAGTTTTGTGCCGTTCGTGAGAAATCCGACGCTGATTGAGGTACGTGGTGATGGTGGTGGGGAGGGGGGGTTGGGGGGAGGTATGATTCATTCTGGTGTGGGACTTTTTTTTTTTTTTTGTGTATATGTGTTTTTTTTTCTTTCTTTCTTTCTTTCTCTGTCTTTGTATTTGTGTTTGTCTCTCTCGGTCGATTTCTCTCTCTTTTTTTTTTTTTCTCTCTCTCTTTCTCTCTCGCTCGATGGTCGCTCGAAGTTCGCTCGAAGCTCTAATCTCTCTCTCTCTCTCTCTCTCTCTCTCTCTCTCTCTCTCTCTCTCTCTCTCTCTCTCTCTCTCTCTCTCTCTCTCTCTCTCTCTCTCTCTCTCTCTCTCTCTCTCTCTCTCTCTCTCTCTCTCTCTCTCTCCCCCCCTCTCTCTCTCTCTCTCTTTCTCTCCCCCCCCCTCTCTCTCTCTCTCTCTCTCTCTCTCTCTCTCTCTCTCTCTCTCTCTCTCTCTCTTTCTCTCCCCCCCCCCCCCCCTCTCTCTCTCTCTCTCTCTCTCTTTCTTATCTTGATTTATTTATGGCGAGAAGGGGGAGGTACTGATTTTGGTGTGGACTTTTTTCTTGATTGTTATTTTATCATTTTTATTATCATTATCATTATTGTCATTATTACTATTATTATTATTGTTATCACTATCGTTATAATTATCATTGGTATTATCATTATTATTATCATTATTATAAAGGAAATATGGAGTTTATTTTTCTCGGTTAATTCATGGTGTAGTAGATTGTTTTGATATGATGATGTGTTTGGTATAAAACATTTATTGCTTTGATATTTTTGGAATAGAGGGGTTAACACGTTGATGTTTTTTGATATATTGATGTATTTCGTATGAAATATTTTTTATTTTGATTTCCTGGTGTATAGCATTTTATATTATGATGTATTTGATATGTCGTTATTGATATATTTGGGGAATAGTTGATATGAATTATATGATATACTATTATTTGTATATATATATATATATATATATATATATATATATATATATATATATATATGTGTGTGTGTGTGTGTGTGTGTGTGTGTGTTTGTGCGT